GTGTATGTGGTGTGGGGGGGCACGTGTGTGGTGCATGTGGCGGGCATGGAATGTGTGGTCTTGTATATGTGTACGTGGTAGGTATGGTGTGGTGTGTGTGTTGTGTGTCTTGTGTGTGTGCTGTGTGTGTGGCATCTGGGGCATGTGCCTGGTTGGGGGAGACCCTCAGGCCGTGTCCCCTCTCCCCAGCCCATCTGCACTCGATGTGCGCTGGGCACACAGAATCACAACTCGCTCCATCTGGCCAAAGAGTAAGACAAGCACCAAGGCCTTGAATGAGAAAGAGCACAGCTGGGAAGTCCTTCACTCACAAGGGACTGACGGGGACAGGAGGTTGCGACTGAGGGCTGTCGCCTGTGGCAGGAGCACCCAGAAAAGCCCGGACCTGTGGAGGAGGGTCTCCAGTGGGTCCTGGCCTGGGAGGGGACGCCACCACACGGTCCCCGTCACACCACACAGATCTTCTCCCTTTCCCACGATTCTCACGACGCCCCCAGAACCGAAAGGACCCCAAATGGCCCATTCACAGCTCAGAGAGAAAGAGCATAATTTCAATCAAGGCCCCAGGCTGTCAGACACATAGAGTTATTAATCTTCTTGTGGTAAATGTGAGCTGGGACTCGCTTACACAGCCAATGGAGCATGCTCTAAATTAGCGTTTGCAGGTAATGGATCCGGCCGCCAGCCCCACGCCAGCTGGCTACAAGCTGGTTACGCCACTAACATGAAATAATAGGAGGCGGAAAAATGGACGGCCTGATTGGGCCTGCTGTTAGAGCCCGATTTACCCAACACGGACGTCTTATTGGTTTAACACAATTTACTACACCTCAAGTGCGGAAAATGATTTTCATTTCTCTGAACCCTCAACTCCCAGGCGCCGCACGAGGGAGGAGTCTTCATAAATGCCATCCGCTCACTTTTTTTTTTTTTTAACATGCCTTCAAGATTTGATAACAAATCATAGATAATAAAACAAAAAGAGATGAGGCTTAGAATGGGGGTCCAGGCCAGCATCTCGTGAGTCCTGGGGTGGGTGGTGTGTCCACGTTGGAGAAAACCAGCCCTGACTCCTGCCCTGAGTCCTGAACTGCAGAGCTCCCTGCCTTCTTGCCAGGTATCCCTGTGCAGGGCTGAGGCCCGCCAGGTCCCCAGCAGAAAGTCCAGCAGGTCTTAGGGACGCCCACCTTGCTCACAGGGTGCTATCAACACATATAAAAGAGCGGCTGGCTTCCTTTGAACCCAGTGAGTCAGCGATTCACACAGCAGTGTAGCCGCCCCCTAGCCTTCCCTGGTAGCAGTTGAGCCTGTGTTCAAAGAGGCACACCCCTGGGTAACCAAAAACACAGACATTAGGAGAGATTTTTATTCCCTGACTAGTTAAGAAAAGAATTCTCAAGCTCCCAGTGACACAGAAGATGGCAGAAAAATCACTTAAAACCTTTCTTCTCTTTTCCCTTCCATCGAACCCACCCACACACGCTTCCCAACACCCACAATGGGTCAGACACTGTGCAGATAAATGAGACGTGGTCCCCAAGAAGTCGCCTCCAGGCTCTCCATGACAAGGACCACAAAACTGCGTCACACAGTGATATCCTGCCCTGGAGAGGGAGCTCGAGGCGGAAGAAGTGTCAGCCCACCTCCCTGGCCGCAGATGTCCCCAGGGGCTTCAGCTGCCTCCTCAAATCTGGCCAGGGATACTCCATGATGTGACACTTTCCCCAGACACCCATCTTCCCACCATCTTCAGACGCGGTGACCCCTCTCTCCCCACTTGGTCCCCTCAGGAACAGCCTCCATCTCTCATTCTTGCTGTCTCAGTTCCCGTCCCCACATCACTGCTCTAAGCTCTCAGGGGCCCACAGATCAGACAGCTTCCCTGGTGGGCACTGTTTCCCCTCTGTATATCCTGTGGTCAGCAGCAGGTGGGCACGCATGGCAGGTGCACAGCATGGGCAGCAGGTACATATGCTGACCTGATGCCACTCAGCACCCTGTGGGAGTGTGTGTCGTGTGTGGTGTGTGTGGAGTGTATGTGGTGTGTGGTGGGGGGGCATGTGTGTGGTGTATGTGGCGCGCACACGATGTGTGGTGTGGTGTGGTGTGTATTTTGTGGTGTTGTATAAGTCGTGTGTGGTGTGTGGTGGGGGGCATGTGTGTGGTATATGTGGTGTGCACACGATGTGTGGTGTGGTGTGTATTGTGTGGTGTTATATAAGTGGTGTGTGGTGGGGGGCATGTGTGTGGTATATGTGGCGTGCACACAATGTGTGGTGTGGTGTGTATTGTGTGGTATTGTATATGTGTACATGGTAGGTATGGTGTGGTGTGTGTGTTGTGTGTGTTGTGTGTGTGTGGCTCCTGGGGCATGTGCCTGGTTGGAAGAGACCCTCAGGCCGTGTCCCGTCTTCCCAGCCCATCCGCACTCGATGTGCGCTGGGCACACAGAATCACAACTCGCTCCATCTGGCCAAAGAGTAAGAAAACCACTAAGGCCTTGAATGAGAAGGAGCACAGCTGGGCAAGTCCTTCCCTCACAAGGGACTGACAGGGACAGGAGGTTGCTATTGAGGGCTGTCACCTGTGGCAGGAGGACCCAGGAAAGCCCAGACCTGTGGAGGAGGGTCTCCAGTGGGTCCTGGCCTGGGAGGGCACGCCACCACATGGTCCCCGTCACACCACACAGATCTTCTTCCTTTCTCATGATTCTCACGACGCCCCAGAAACGAAAGGGCCCCAAATGGCCCATTCATAGCTCGGAGCTCCTGGCTCCTGGCTGAGCTTCCCAGTGCACTCGGCTGTGGCCTCTGGCTTCGAGCTCATCTCTCCTAGAGCCACCCTGGTCCACACAGGATGCGGCAGCAAGGCCAGCCCGGGGTCTTGGGATGGGGGTGGAGCAAAGGTGGAGCAGTTTGTAGACCGGGGTGACATCTCCCCAGAGCTCAGGTTCACAACACCCTGCTTCCAACAGCAGCCAACTGCAACATGGATCTATGTGGATCCTGACTTGAACAAACCAACGCTAAAAAGAGTTTAGGATCAATACAGACTAGATATTCATGACATTAAGGAGTTACGGTTCATTTGTTACAATGAATGTGATATTGGCCTGGTGGTTATGTAAAAGTAAAAAAAAGTTCTCATCAACTGCAATACCTACTGAGGTATTTACAGGTGCCATGACATGATGTCTGGGATTTGGCTTTAAAATGCCAAAAATGTGTTTAGGTTTGTTCTAGCAAACAAAAGTAAACACAAAAACCTGATGGGGACTTCGGGGTTCACTCTACTTTTCTATTATCTTGGATATTGAAATTTCCTGTTTAAAAAAAAAAAGGCCTCCATTACCTGGAAGGCAGGAGGGCTAAGGAGCGGGGGGTATTCCAGGGCCCCTGGCCCCTGAATCAAAGCTGGTACAGCCCTGTCCCCAGGCTGGGCAGGGGCGGGCTCTGGGACACTGTGGGGAGGGAGGCTCAGGGCCCCTCCCAGGAGCCACCTTGGGAGCAGGACTGACTGCAGTACAGAGCTCAGGCGGCCAGCATGCGGAGGACAGCAGGGCTCCACACTGGGCCCAGCTATTCCTGCCCCAGTTTCTCGGTTATTTTTATTTGAAGCATCAGCTATGGGTCACTATGATTCAACTCAAGCTGGGACAGGTTTCCGGGGCAGTGCTAGTCTGAGGGACCCGCTGTCTAGCCCACCTCACTGGAGGAGCCCCCAACACACTTCCCATCCCAGATCCTTGGAGCGGGCAGGGGGTCCTGGGAATGCCGGGCACAGACGCCGCACTGTAGCAGACCATGCAGACACAAGTGCTGGGAGAGCTCTGCGAGCCCTTCCCAGCCTCCCTGGCTGACAGAGCTGGGCTTCTGATCAACGTGTGTTACATGCCTCCTCCCAGGATGCCAAGCACCCGGGCAAGGTCATTTTAACCTCCTCCGGGCGGGGTAAGGAGAGAAGCACAGGAGCTGACTGCTCAGAACTCCTTCCAAGGCGAGACCTTAAAAAGACACCCACCCCCCAAGCACAGCCACAGCGAACAGAAGCGTTCAAGCAGCTCACTGTGGGCCCCATCCGACCTCAGCCCTGCACCCCACTGATGGCAGGCAGGCCACGAGGGTTGAGAGGGTGATATGGAGCCAGCACCCGCAGGGCCGGGGCCCTGAACAGAGCAGGCCCTGAAGACATCTGGGGCGGACTTGGGCCCTGCAAGGGGGGTAAGGGACACCAGAAATCAAGCTCTCACAAGGATAGGCAGGGAAGGAAAGCCCGGTGTGGGGACAGGGGTATGGCAGCCTCTTCAGTGTCACTTCCCCAGAGTTTCCAGATGATACCAACACTGGTGGGAGGTCTCCTGCCCCAGGATACGGGTGGGAAAGGAACCACTGAGGCAGTTAAGAGTCTGATCCAAAGGTTTCCTTGTACCACAGGTGGCAGCACACTGACCTCTGGGTCCTGGAGCGGGGCTGACCTGGCCAGGCCACACCTGCCACGGCTGGGCAGCCGCAGGAAGCTCCCCAGGTGGCACCGGCTCGCTGCAGGCCTAACAGGAGCGGAAGGCCAATGGAGCTCTCCAGAGCTCTTTATGGGCCATTTAACCATCCCTCGACCCAATCGCCCGAACACAGCAGACATAATGGCAGTGTTCACACATAAAAATGGCACGCTGTTTTACTGGCAGCTTTCAGAGTCATAAGAGCAGCAATTTGGTAAAGTTTCCTGCAAATGGCAGAAACAAAGTCCGAGAGTAGAATGGTGGGGCACTAAACCACCCTGAAAAGTCATCGAAGACCATTACATCAAACACTCTGCCAAGAGCCAGGAAGCGGGGAGCAGTCAGAAGAAAAATAATCTTTGCCCGTGATCCTGAAGCCCTGTTCATAATCCCCACTCAAGGTGTGTGTGCCTCTGCGGCGTTTCATCTGTTACTCACTCAGGGAACATAAATTACTGTTTTTTACCTTTTATTTTCTACCTGGAGAAACAGGGTGGCTTACCTTTCCAACTCATATTCTTTCATTCCCACCTTTACAGCCTTCATTACCTGGAGGACAGATATTAAGCAAAGACATTTGTATTAAGCAGATCAGTAACACAGCGTGATAAATAACATACAGCACTTCTTCAAAAGCACCTCTTCTTTAAAAAAGAAAAAAAGAATGGTAAGTGCATGCAGTGGTACAGACATGTGACAAATTAGAACTTTTTAAAAGCTCCAAAATCCCATACAGTTTATTTAAACTGCCATGAAGCACTTCCATTTGGAAGCCGATAAATGCCAAGCCCCGAGTTACAGCTCAGAGGCCACCAGCAGCCTGAGGACAGTGAGGATTCAACCACGAGGTGCTTGGTGAATACTTAATGCTACAAAAGCTATGCCGATCACTAAAAGGCCTCCTTTGTTTAACTTTCATAAAACACGGAGAGCATTAACTCGTACAAGAGAGTAGGCTGTCCATCAATTACCCTTGTCTGTTTCCTAACACAAAATCGCAACATTCCTGAGCAGACCCTGGGCCATCCTCATCTTTCAAGACATGTGTTGCCTTATTTGGTCTCATTCCTCCAGTAAACTGGGAAGATTTGGAAGAGAACCACATGAAGAAGTTTTCAGAAAATGGATGATGGTAATAAGTGTGTTTGAACCATAGTTAAGGACAAAAGATTCTTTAAAATGAGCTGAGAACTGCTGCGATATCAGGAAGGAGCACTCTACCCTCCCAGAGTTGGAACTTTTTGTTGGAGAATTTCCTGAGGATTAGTGTCCACGACTGCCATGATGGGCAGGTGCCCTAAGCTGAGCAATTGGGGCAGAGCCTCTCCTGTCCCTGCCCTGTGCCCACCAGGGAACAGAAAAGAGAACCATCATCGTGTAAAACTTCCTACCTCTCGTGTGGCCCTCGGGGATTAGAGCCCACCTGGAAACCCTTCATCCTCACGCAGTTGTCTCGCCACACAGCAACACCGCTTTCCCCACTCAACTGGAGCCGGTGTCTGACTTACCTCACGGTGGGCCTCGCTGGAGATTTTATTGGTGTAGCGCAGAACCTCCAGCTCCATGTCTGTCTTAAACACTCGGCTTCAGAGACAGAAGAACAAAGCAGCAAGTCAGTGACTTTCAGAAGGCACTGGCTGGACCCCTCCAGGGAGACCTCAGGGCCTGTCACACCCTGCACAGCCCGGAAGGGGTGCTGTGCAAGGCCGGAGTGGGGCCACCAAGACCCAGGAGTGACAAGCTCTATGGAACAGTCTAGTAGAACACCTCTAGCAGGGAGCAGAGCTGCTGCCCACCTTCCTAACACCAGCCGGCGGGCAGGCTGTTTCCAGGGATAAGATCTGGAAGCTGCTGTGGTGGGGGGAAGAAGTCCAGTTGCTGCAGCCTGTCACAGGCTGCCTCCCTCAGCCTCAGTTTCCCCATGCATGGAAGGGGGATGAAATCCACATGGCATGGCTGTTGGGCCATAATCCTAAGCCTGCCACCTCTCAGGGCTCTGTCCTGTTGGCTGAAGAGGCCTCATTTCCTCCCCATCCCCACCCACCTGCCCATGGGTGGGTGACAGGGTCTGGTGAGGGGACTGAAGCCATTCCAGCTTTGTGTGTGCCGGTACAGATGTGAAAACAGCTGGGCCGCAGACACAGGCAGGAGACCAGGAGCAGAGGAGAAGAGGGAGGCAGCCACAGATGAGAGGGTGGTCTATGTGGTCAGGGAAGTCACAATCAGGGGACCCTGCTATCCCTTCCCAGCTGGGCTGTGCCTCGTGCAACTGGACTCCTGGGGCTCCCAGGTCCTCCTAACAAACTTGTGTTAATTTGCCCAAATGTGGTTACGTTTCTGGTGGTTGCAATCAATCTCACTCGCAAGTAAGACCCACACAGAGGAGCCAAAGAAGTATTCGCTTTCTACCTCCACTCATTTAAAACCACCCTGGGTCCGCGGGCACTGCAAGGGCAGCTGTGCTGAGGCATTCAGAGCACCGGCCTGGGAGAAAAGCCCTGGGCTCCAGTTCAGCTCCACCCCTTCCCAGCGTGTGGCCGAGATCCCTACTCTGTGCCTTGGTGTCCCCATCTGAAAAACGGAGATATGAACACTGTTTTCATCGTAGGTTTGCGGTGAGAACTGAGTTGGCATTTTTAAAGCACCAAGGACAGTGCCTGGCACACAGTAAATGCCGTGTACACTTGTTCCAGAAACCAAGCAAAATGCAAAGCCTGCAGACACCACCTCATCCACACTTCCCACCCCAAAGCCAGGCGAAATGCTCTGATGTCCTTAGGTAGGACACCTTGATTCTCATCAAAGCATTTCTCCCCAGTATTCATGACAGGCCCATGAACCTAGAGAAATCTCAGTAGGCAAACACAGCCTCCCTTCATTTTAAATTGCCATTTACTTGGGACCTGCCCCATGCTGGGTCCTGTAAGTTGCAGTGGACGCTGGGTACACTGCCCAACTCATCCCCTGAGGCCACACCCTTCTACTGGTCTCCTTGATTCAATGGAGGGAGCCAAGACTCAGCTCCCTCGCTTCAACTGCGGACATCTCTGGGGACCACTCCAGCACCAAAGCTCCCCATGGGAGCAGCCGAGATGCCCTTGTGACAGCATTGCAGCCCAAGCCTGCTCCCTCCCTCTGACACACACGCTGATCCCGAGAGCACTCCTCAATACGCTTCCTGCCCACTCGGCTCAGAGACTCAGCTTCCCATGGAACCCAACCTAGAACAGGTACTACCTTCCCATTTCAGATAGTGACACTGAGACTTAGCTGAGACGATATCAAAGGGCGTGTGTCCCACTCTGTTACACTCACCCCCTTTTTGTTGCATGCCATGCAAAAATAACAGAACTCTACATTCAGACAAACTACTAATCGAATACAGAAGGAAACTAGTCATTTTCAGACATTCAAAAACTCAGAAATGGGGGAAGTACTTAAGGATGTACTCCAGCAGAGACAGAAGGGTAGAAGGGTGGGGAGACGGAGAAAGCACAAGCCAATAAAGAGAAGGAGGTGATATAATGGGATATTTTAAAAAACTGGAGTCAATCCAAAAGTATAATTAGACGCTGGACAGCAAGCCTAGAAAGCAATCAGTAGAAATTAGAACTCCAAGTATGTGGCTCTGAGAAAAACATTCACAAAAAGAATGGCATGGATTCCTTTCCGCAGATAAAATCAATAGGAAGCTTAAAGCTCTTAGTGATATGGTGAATAAGATATGCTTCTTCTCTCAATAAGACAGAAGAAAGGCAAATTAAAACTCTAGGAACAACAAAACAAAACAGATGTATGTATGGAGGCTGCATTTATTCACATGGTACCAAAGTAACAACAGGCAGATTACTCTCCAGGTCAAGGGGTTGTAACCCAGTGATCAGTCTTAGCATCATTGATTGTGCGTCAACTAAGTATAATTTGTGTCTGAAGGTAGTGCAATAAGAAATACACATCACCTGGGATGTATTCCAGCAAATGTTTTAAACTTCTATGGCTTTAGATCTAACTTCCAGTTTGCAAGAAATATGGGGATAGAGGAACAAGCTAACCGCCACCACAAGGGAACAACCATACAAATCCAGAATTGGGATGCCATGGTACAACTGGCCCAGCCTTTCAGTATCTGGGGGAAAAACCATCACGACACCCAAGTAAGAGATAGAAACTATACTGGCCACATCTGGGATGTCTTATGGACAACTGGAGGAATTCCTATTTACGTGAACTTTCTAACTTTCAACAATGCATGTACATATGTTGCTTTTGTTCTCATGAAAAAAAATAATAAAAATATTTTTTCTAATAAAAAAAAGAAAACCATTCTTTAAACAGAGAATAAACTAAAATATGGAGTGATTTTGTACAACTGATGGTTATATAAGAAAAATAGTCTAGGCCAGGCGCGGTGGCTCATGCCTGTAATCCCAGCACTTTGGGAGGCTGAGATGGCCGGATCACGAGGTCAGGAGATCAAGACCATCCTGGCTAACACAGTGAAACCTCATCTCTACTTAAAATACAAAAAATTAGCC